GGTTGTGTGCGTGTGTGTGTGTGAGAGAGAGAGAGAGGGAAGTTGCGAATGTCATAAGAGCATCGCGGTTGTGTGTGTGTGTGTGTGTGTGTGTGTGTGTGTGTGTGTGTGTGTGTGTGTGTGTGAATCTTCCGCTACAACATGTGAAGATTCATTCCAATGTTTTTTTTTTGTTTTTTTTTTTCCCTTGCTCTTGGTCCCTGTCGCAATCGCGGCGGGCATGCTCTTGTTGAACTAAAACGAGTAAAGGGGAAATACAATGTTGTTGCCAATGCATTGAGTTGAAGATCTGACTTTGTCGGTGCTATTGTAACCTATTTAGATGTAGGCACCGATTTGCAAGAGAAGATTAAGAATGTGTATCCCACTGATCCTGTTTATGGCGCTATGTTGAAGCATGTTCAGGAAGCGCCACAAGAGTTTCCTAACTATCGTGTGACCCAAGGACTGTTGTTTGAAAGAACAGATGTACATGATAGGCTTTGTATCCCAAATGTGGAAGAAATTAAGAGTGTAAATTTCGATTGGAAGAAGACCTATGCCAACCTTCTGCGTTCCTACACCTGGCCAAGAATGAAACCCGATTGCATCGCGTATGTGCAAGGCTTTCGAGTGTGCCAACGAAATAAGAGGACCACGCAGCCTCCCCTTGGTCTACTAAAGCCTTTACCCATCCCAACAGGTCCGGGAGACTCTGTGTCTATTGATTTTATGGACACTAAGGTGAAAAGCAGGAATGGGAAAACACAGGTCATGGTAATAGTTGACAGATTTAGTAAGTATGCTGTCTTCGTGGCATTGCCTTCGAAAGCGATAACCGACTTGGTGATTCGGGAATTCTTTAACCATTGGGTAAAAGACTTTATGGACATCCTTTGACTATCGTTAGTGACAGACTCGAGGTTCACAAGTGAGCAATGGCAGCAACTAATGAATGTTTATGGCTCTAAATTGACAATGTCGTCAGGCCGACACCGTGAGACAAATGGGCAAACTGAGCAAATGCACAAGTTTTGCAGCAAAATATGCGCATGTACATTCGTCCCAACCAGATTGATTGGGATGAACATCTGCCCAAGGTTGCTAGTGCCTATAACAACTCTGTGCACTTGTCTACTTGCAGAACTCCGATGGAGTTGCATCTGGGATGGCGTCCTCGCAGACCTATAGATCGTCTAAACCCAGATCAAGTACACAAGCTTCCTCTTGGAACTATGAATTTGCAATGCAATATCAGAAAGACAGAGAAAAGGTAAAGGAGAATATAATTAAAGCACAGCATTCAGATGGTAGAACAGGCCAACAAACATAGGAGACCTTCTCAATTTGCTGTAGGTGATCTGGTATGGGTGAAATCAAAAGAGTTCATCCCTGAGGAGAACATCTCTCAGAAGTTGTTACCAGCCTACAAGGGGCCGTGGCAAGTGTTGGATGTGGTAGGAGGTGTTGATGGTCCCTCCTACGTGATTGAGATTCCTCAACAGCTGCATATGTATCCGGTGTTTCACGCATCAAAGCTTCTACCTTGTGTAACTAATGAACTGTTTCCCAGTCGCAAATCAGCAATTCCTCCAAGCATGGATGGGAAATATGATGTCGATAGAATCATTGCTACAAGCACGATTCAGACTGGACGCAGAGGTAGACCACAACGGCAATATAAAGTTAGGTTCGCTTATCAAGACCCAAGTGAAGACCGCTGGTTTAGCAGAGAAGAGCTAATTGAATCTGCACCGCACATCGTGCCATATTATGAAAGAGCAAGAAGAGGAATTAATATTGTGGACAGGTAAAGATTTTCTCAAAGGACTTCGAAATTAGGCCGGCGAGAGTAGAAGGGCCTTTACGAATTCAGACCCCAAATGGTGATTGCAGCATAATGGGGCCCGTTCTGCCAAAACTCAATTTCGTGAAAAGCATTCCAAAGGACAAGTTCCCTGAGCCAGAAGTCGCATCCAGATTGAAATGAGAAGTCGTTTCAAAAAAAGTCACAGTCAGGTCCTTAGGCGAACAAGTGTTACATTCAATTTTAGAACTAAGGTAAGGTCATGTCTGTTCGTCCAGAAGTCAAGAGGCACAGTCCCAGTCCAGTCGCAGTCCCACAGGTCATTTCTGACTCAGACCAGAAGTACGAAAGTCAGGCCCAACGGCCAAAGCAGAGGCAGACCCTGGGGAAAAGGTACTGGGACACACACTTTGCAACAACAGGTACTGGGGAAGAGTCCCAGGCAGAGGGAGGCTGAAAGTAGACCTCGCCAGACCATTACAGCAGTACAAAGGACTGGTCAATCTCCTCATTCGGTAGATACTCATTGGCACGAGTGTGTGGAAGTGCCGAAGCACTTGTGCGCAGGATGCTAGTGAGCAGCGCTAGGCTTGCGAGCTGTGCTAGGAAGAAGAAGGGAGCTGGGCGCTGGCTTGGACAGACAGCCATAGCTGCGCCAGTAAGAGCTATTAGTAGTAGAGGGGTTAGTCATAAGGGTACCAGTGAGTAGTATTCAGAGTAGATCCTCGTGTGATAGGGAGTGTGCATGCATGGTGAGTGAGAATAGATCAGGACTATAGACAGAAGGAGAGAAGAGAAGAGATCAAGGGGGAAGCGGTGAGCTATGGTGATACCTACTTGTTGAGCGCTGTTGTTGAACGTTTGGTAGCTGGTGCTGATAAGCACCAGGCCTGGGAACTCATGTTGATTGAAGAAGACTTGTAACTCTGTTCGGCACTGTACATATTCGAACTCTTGATTTTCTCTCTTTAATCTAGGTTTGAAAATTGAGTTAAGCTTCCTGGTCCTCATTCATCTTCTATTGGACTTTGTGTGAGACATCGCAATCTGTATAAATGCATATGAACTGATGCACTCCAGCAAGTGATGAACAGTCGGGTTCCTTGCATTCTTGAGGATAACATAAAAGAATATGGTCGTAGTAATTCAAGATAAATCATAAATGTTGATATGTGTTATCATATTATTGACTTATTAGGTTCCGTAAATTTGTGAAGTAATTGATACAAATCATATCTTCGCCCTCAGTTTGATATTAAGTACAAAAAAGAATGAAAGGTGTAAAGTAGGCAATGACCCTCGTCTTTTTCCTTGATAATGAAAGCATGCGACTGACCTCAGAACACATTTTCAGATCCAAA